AAACGCTGTGGCCCAGCGAGGGCCAGCCCCATCGGGGGCGGGACGGCTGGGGAACCCTTTCAAGACGGCCCCTCCCCTCCAGTTCAGGGGTCTCTCCCGGCCCAGAGCCTGTGCCCTCTGCCGGGGGGCACTTCCCCGCGGCCACGATGGACTGACGCAACGAGAGGAAACTGGGGGGACGGGTGGTGGGAAGAGGCTGGGGTCACCTGTCCGCCTGACGTGATGACTCGCTGGCCTCAGGGGGGGCCGGCGGATTCATGGGGACCAGGACCTGGGAGCAGCCAAGTGGGGGGCCTCCTGCAGGCCTGGCCCTTGACGGGCTGAGCCCAGACTGGCTGAGGGTGGGAGGGAGGGGCAGCCGGGCCCCCAGGGAAGCCTGTGTGTGTCTCTGAGAAAGTCACGCCCAAGGTCAAGGCCGCCAGCCCGGCCGGTGTGGCTCAGTGTTTGAGCCTCGACCTCTGACCCAAGAGGTTGAGGTTCAACTCCTGGTCAGGGCACAGCCCCGGGTTGTGGACTCGATCCCCAGGAGGCAGGGATGTTCCTCTCTCTCCCTCTCCCTTCCTCCCTGAAATCAATACAAATATATTCTTAAAAGATAAAACATTAAAGGGTTCAGAGTCCCCCCCGTCCCCCCACCTCCCCATGCAGGTCCTGCTTCCCGGCCTGGTGCGCCTCCCCCTCTCCTTCTCCAGCTTCTCCCCAGGGACACTCCCGGGGTCCCCCAGGGGCCCTGCCCACGTCCCGGGGCCTCCAATCGAGGCTGGTTCCCCTAGAAAAGTCACACGTGCCTCCCACAGGCCGGAGCTGCACGTCTGTCCCGCCCAGCGCGGGGCCAGGGAGCCTGTCCGGGGTCCGTACCCCCTGTGGGGAGCCCTCGTTTCCACTTGGGGTTTTGAGTCGTTTTCCTGAATAAAGGGGTCCCCCTGGCCGGTGCGGCTCAGTGGTGGAGCATCGACCCAGGAACAGGAGGTCAGGGTTGGATTCCTGGTCAAGGGCACAGGCCCGCGTTGCACGCGATCCCCAGTGGGGGGCGTGCAGGAGGCAGCCGATCCATGATTCTCTCATCATGGATGTTCCTCTCTCTCCCTCTCCCTTCCTCCCTGAAATCAATACAAATATATTCTTAAAAGATAAAACATTAAAGGGTTCAGAGTCCCCCCCGTCCCCCCACCTCCCCATGCAGGTCCTGCTTCCCGGCCTGGTGCGCCTCCCCCTCTCCTTCTCCAGCTTCTCCCCAGGGACACTCCCGGGGTCCCCCAGGGGCCCTGCCCACGTCCCGGGGCCTCCAATCGAGGCTGGTTCCCCTAGAAAAGTCACACGTGCCTCCCACAGGCCGGAGCTGCACGTCTGTCCCGCCCAGCGCGGGGCCAGGGAGCCTGTCCGGGGTCCGTACCCCCTGTGGGGAGGGCCCCTCACGAAGGGGGGGCAGGCCCATCTCCCTGTCTCCCGTGTCCACAGGGAAGTCGGTCAAGAAGCACGGGGTGACCACCCGGCAGCTGGTGGACGAGGTCCCCGAGGGGTGCAGCCTGCCGGACTTCGAGCAGAAGCCGGTCACCATGGCGCTGGCAGAAGGTGAGACCCGGCAGGGGGGGCGCTGAGGGGACCCCGCTCCCCGCCTCCAGCTTGCACAGCCCCCGTCCCCAAGTCCTCACCAGCCAGACCACATCTGCCTGCACTGGGGGGGGATGGGGAGAGGGGGGTGCCTGCCTGGGTCCCCAGAAGGCGATGTAAGGGTCTAGGGAATGGACACTGGGTGCGGGGAGAGCAGAGGGGGCCTTGAGGGGGAGCTGCCCCCAGCTTGGGGTCTCCCTGAGGCCCCGGCCCCGTGTCTCAGGACCAGCGTCTCCGGGCACCTAAGAGGTACCCCTTCCTATGGCTGTCACTCCCGCCCAGAGAGTGACATGGACCCACAAAAAGACTCCCCGCCCCCCCAAACTTGGGAGAGTCCTTCAGGCCCAAAAAAAGGCCCCTCCCTCCCGGGCCTCGGGGTCGTCCCTCCCTCAAGGCCCCCCGGCCCTTGCCAGGCGGGGACCGGGCACCCGGGACTGGGCACGGGGACTGGGGATGGGGAGCCTGCCTCATGTCCTTGAGTCATTAAAGGGTTCAGAGTCCCCCCCGTCCCCCCACCTCCCCATGCAGGTCCTGCTTCCTGGCCAGGTGCGCCTCCCCCTCTCCTCCTCCAGCTTCTCCCCAGGGACACTCCTGGGGTCCCCCAGGGGCCCTGCCCACGTCTCGGGGCCTCCAATCACGGCTGGTTCCCCTAGAAAAGTCAGACGTGCCTCCCACAGGCCGGAGCTGCGTGTCTGTCCCGCCCAGCGCGGGGCCAGGGAGCCTGTCCGGGGTCCGTACCCCCTGTGGGGAGGGCCCCTCACGAAGGGGGGGCAGGCCCATCTCCCTGTCTCCCGTGTCCACAGGGAAGTCGGTCAAGAAGCACGGGGTGACCACCCGGCAGCTGGTGGACGAGGTCCCCGAGGGGTGCAGCCTGCCGGACTTCGAGCAGAAGCCGGTCACCATGGCGCTGGCAGAAGGTGAGACCCGGCAGGGGGGGCGCTGAGGGGACCCCGCTCCCCGCCTCCAGCTTGCACAGCCCCCGTCCCCAAGTCCTCACCAGCCAGACCACATCTGCCTGCACTGGGGGGGGATGGGGAGAGGGGGGTGCCTGCCTGGGTCCCCAGAAGGCGATGTAAGGGTCTAGGGAATGGACACTGGGTGCGGGGAGAGCAGAGGGGGCCTTGAGGGGGAGCTGCCCCCAGCTTGGGGTCTCCCTGAGGCCCAGGCCCCGTGTCTCAGGACCAGCGCCTCCGGGCACCTAAGAGGTACCCCTTCCTATGGCTGTCACTCCCGCCCAGAGAGTGACATGGACCCACAAAAAGACTCCCCGCCCCCCCAAACTTGGGAGAGTCCTTCAGGCCCAAAAAAAGGCCCCTCCCTCCCGGGCCTCGGGGTCGTCCCTCCCTCAAGGCCCCCCGGCCCTTGCCAGGCGGGGACCGGGCACCCGGGACTGGGCACGGGGACTGGGGATGGGGAGCCTGCCTCATGTCCTTGAGTCGGGGATGGCGGCCGGGCCCCCTTCCTGACACGGGGTTCGGGGGGGGCGAGATGCCTCGAGCCTTGA